TCATGCTTTTTTTGGCTCTGTTCTTCACTTTTTTGGGCTCAGTTGTGGAAGAAGTAATCTTATCTGAATGGCTATCTGTTGAGCCAGACTTGTCCCTGACTTGGAGAATATAGTTAGTGGATTTTCTAGTAGACAGAATGCTGGTCTAGAGTTTTTAGTCTTGGATTAAGTTCCTGGACCTGAAACTTTTAATGGCTCTATTAAAATATAATTAACATATAATGAACTGCTTAATACTTGAAACACACAATTTGATGAAAATTGCTATAAGCAGATTCTTAAAGCTCTCTTATCTGAAAATGTACATATAGATCAGTCACTCACAACTCTCTTTTTGTGCTCACTGATGTTGTCTCCTTTGTTCTTCGCCACGTTTCTCCACAGCCCGGGAGAGTGCTGATTTTGCCCCTATCGTGTGATATCATTTGTAAAAATGTGAATGGATTAACACAATTTTTACAAGACCTTTGTGTGTGTGTGTGTGTGTGTGTGTGTGTGTCTGTGTGTGCGCTCTTTTCACCAGAAATAATCATTGTGACACTAACCTGGATTTGTGGGTATTACTGATTTATTTTGCTAAGTAGTACTCTGAGCATAAAATAATTTAATCATTCACATGTTGAAGGGATTCGATATTATTTTCAGCTATTAAAAGTAAAACTGGTTTAAAAATAATAAGAATATTGTAAAAGGGGAAACATATAAATGCAGGAGCAAAAATGACAAACAAAATCCCACAAACCAAGCAACTAACCAGTAACAATCACTAAGACACTGTATTAGAGGATCTTGTGGAATCTAAAGGGTACTACACACACACACACACACACACACAACTCCTCATTCACCCCCCACATATGCACACACATACCTACAATCACACCTCCATACATACACTCAACCCCCCCACTCATATCTCCCATATATACACATAAAACTCACCCCCATACTCACACACACCCCACACATACACATACATTCACACCTTTCTTATATACACAGAACACATGTGCACACCCCCCACACATGTGCACATATACACTCTCCACGTATAGATGCATACTTACATACCCTACATATACATATACACATACATTCACACCTACCTCACTCATACATACACCACATATACACATATATACACACACACTCACTCCTCCCCCACAGTCATACACACTCACACCACAGACCGTAACACACACTCACCCCACACAGAGTAACATCCAGCCCACACCTGTACACACACATTCACATCCCCTCACTCACACACACACACACACACACACACTCCACACATGTGCACATACATACATACACTCCCCACGTGTGTGTGCATACTCATACACCCCACAAAGTTCATGACAATACAGTGGAGTGGTGGAAGGAACCATGAAGTCAGCCGAGCAATAATCAGTAAGCAACACAGAGCTGGGCTGTGTAGCTCCTGGACTGGGGAGGGGAAGTGGAAACCTCATGCAAAAGGTAAACCAGATGGCCTTGGTGACAGTCTGTCAGTTCTATCCACAGGACAAGTCCATAGTTCTTGTAAGCCTCTAATGTCTTTGGAGTTCGTGTGACACAGTGACCTTTGCCAGGGGTCAGCAGAGGAGAGGATGTCCATTTGTCACTTCTGTCTTGGAGGCCTATGTGTGGGTACCAGTTTGAGAGGGAACCTGTTGACTAGCCCAAGGACCTGACAACAAGGAACAAACAAACTGGGGAGTCTGTAGTCAACTGCTATGTCCTCACATGGCTGTGAGAAGCAGGCATGGTTTGAGGGACAGCTGGATATGCAGACATGCTACGAACTCAAGTAGCCAGTGGCTTAGCCTGGGAAAGGGCTTGGTGGCCCTACCCTCTTTGCCAAGGAGCAGATAATGAGACTGTTAGCCTTGATCTAGGTGATGAGTATCCTCCTCTATTCCTTCCCACTTTACTCCCTTGAAACAAGTGGAAACTGAACCTGGGACTATATTTTGGCTAGGCCGATGGACACCCCAGCAAGTCCCAGTAACTTCCTGGCTCCACATCCTCCCTCCCAGTCAAGGTGCAGGGCCACTCTTAGTCTTTTATGTGGGTGTGGAGGATCTAAACTCAGGTCTTCATGCTTGTGTTCTAAGCCACCATGTGGGTGCTGGGAACTGAACCAAGGTCCCGTGCAAGAGCAACAAGTGCTCTTAACTGCTGCACCATCATTCCAGCCCCTAGATAAGAGTTCTTAACTACTTACAGTCTTATGTGTCTGAAAACTGGATTTGCTCAACCATTGTGCTATATCTTATCTCTCTTTTTGCTGATGGTAAATGTTGTCATTCCAAATGCATTGATTTAGCCTCTGTTATTTATAGGCATGGCATGTTCAGAGGGGAAAGACAGTACCAGTGAGGAAGAACAGGGGCAAGTGTGTTTGTAGATGGCAGTGCTGGGGTAATTCAGCTACAGATGGGAGGCTTGACACTCCTATTGCTTCAATAAACAGTTTACCAACTCCAAGATAAACAATGGGTCAAAGACGACTTGGCTTGAGAGGCAGGAAGAGGACATTAATAACGTTTAATCACTTCAATATATATTTTCATATTCATATTTCTGAATTACATGTTTTATAACCGTTCCTAGTTTAAATAGTAGCTTGCCTTTTTCTTCTGGTCTCAGTGGGACATAACATAGCAGTGCTTCACCTTTCATTTGGCAGAAGCTTAAACACACTAACACATGAATTTTTGTGTGCCATGCATGGTTCTTGTTCCCAAGGTGTTTCATATATATGATCCTGCAGTGTGCTGGGCTTCAGAAGCATGGGTAAGCATGCTGAAGACTTCCTTCTCCATTAACTCCCTTATTTCTTCAGCAAATAAAAACATTTCATCTATCTTTAGCTCCAGCGTCTTTCCTAGGTTCTGATTCACAAGTAGCGCACAAATATCACTATTGTGTTGTGTTGACATCCCATCAAATTCATTACAGTGTAGCATCTTCTTCCAAATCAATTCCAAGCTTCCCAACTCAACTTCTTGGGGACCATCCCGGAAAGATTTCTTTCCTTTCACTTTCCTGCACACTTTGTATGTTACAGAGACCTGTACACATCCCCTGTCTCATTGACCCTTCCTAGTTCTCACTTTATTTAGCCATAACCTTTCCCTCCGACTCATCCATTAACACCAGTTTAAGTTTCCTCCAGCCCAGCACTGCATACACCTGACTCCCTGCTAAATGTCACTAATGGGTCCTTACTGGTCACTTCACCACCACAGCCTGGCACTGTGAGTTCCTCATAACACCACCTTTCACTAACCACCGTGTAAGCCAGTGGTTACAGAAATGTTCTGCCCTTTTTCAGTTGCCACGATTTTGGTGTCAACTATTTCCATTGTCTAGATTCAGACACCCATGCCCTTGGCTTTATCTACCTACTTCTGATTTTTCTTTCAAAACTAAGGTAGCTCATTCAGGAAGAAGCCTTTCCTGATAGTGATAGTTTACACTTTCTTGCCTTAGTCTTGCCTTTACTCCTGTGGGCTGTAGTGTGTACATCACTAATGTGACAGTATGCACTTCATTCAGCTGCTTTCTATCTTTTTGTTTGTTTGTTTGTTTGTTTTGTTTTTCGAGACAGGGTTTCTCTGTGTAGTCCTGACTGTCCTGGAACTCACTCTGTAGACCAGGTTGGCCTTGAACTCAGAAATCCACCTGCCTCTGCCTCCTAAGTGCTGGGATGAAAGGCCACCACCGCCCGGCCTATCTTTTTTTTTTTTTTTTTTTTTTTTGCATGGGAAATGCTCTTTGAAGAGAATTAAATTTTGTGAGAGCAGAGATTTATAGCTTGCCATATTTCTATGGTAATTTCTTTTTCTTTTGAGATAGGATCTCATGTAGTCAAGCCTACCAGTGTTGCAAAGACAGACAGACATACCTGAAGATCACTGGCCAGTCAGTGTAAACAGATGAGCTCCAGGTTGAGTGAGAGACTCTGTCTCAAAATGTAAGGTGGGGATGGAGAGAGGAAGACACCAGCATCGACCTTTGACCTTTAAGTACACACAGGTAACACATATCCCCCGCCCCCCACCCAAACAAGCAAAGCAGTCCTAGCAATACTCAAATATTTGTTTTTTCTTATATTGGAGTTGGTGTCTACAAAATGGCACAATTCAAAAGCAGGGAGTGTGGGGGGAGTTATTATTTTTGGCAAATGTGGGAATGGTTGGTTCAAGTTGCCTGATGGGGCATGCAGTGTCTATTCTGGGACGGAGATGTTCTCTCTCTCTCTCTCTCTCTCTCTCTCTCTCTCTCTCTCTCTCTCTCTCTCTCTCCCTCCCTCCCTCCCTCCCTCCCTCCCTCCCTCTCTCTCTCTCTCTCTCTCTCTCTCTCCTTTTCTTTTGGCGGGGTAGGGGACAGAGTCTTGCTTTGTAGCTCGGGCTGACCTCTAACTCCCCATCCTCTTGCCTGAGCCTTCCTAGAGGTGAGATTATCATCACGTGTGGCTAGTGCTGCTCATAGGCTCAACCCAGAGCCTCTAGAAACAGTTTCTCACTAGAAGGAACTTCCTAGCCTTAGTAAGCAAGTAGTCTTTGCTAAGCTCTAAGAAAGTAGGCTGGCTTGGTGGCTACTGGAGGGCACTGCCCCAGGAGGAAGACTTGCCACTCGAGATAAGGACTGACCAAGGGCTCGCCACTGCGAAGCGCGCAGGAGCCGCCCCTCACAGGAATTCGTGGGCTAAGCAGCCGCTCGAGCTTTGGCCGCGGTCCCGGGAAAGAGGAGCAAGGGGCTTTCCACCTGCCCCTGACCTAACCCCGGCCGCCAGGCTTCTCGAATTCCTGGACTTGTACCCCGCCTCCCGAAACGTAGCAGCCCCGCTCTCTCCGTCCCGCCCCTCCACGATGACTCCGCCCATCACCCCGCCCCCACGCCTTACGGGCTCGCTCCCGTGATGGCCGCTGGGGGCGCGCCTGCTCCTGAGGATGTGAGTGCGCAGGCGCATTCGCTGCCTCTCTACGGGCGCCAATTCCGGAGACCAGAGGCTGGTAAGAGCCTGGGGTGGCGGAGGTCGGGAAGCGGCAGGCGTGGGGAGGTTCCGGCAGCCAGCTCGAGCGGACGACTCAGGGGCTTGCTGGGAGGTCTCGCCCATCCCCGAGACCCCCGGTATGCGGCTGTCCAGCAGAGGCGACGAGGCCTAGCCGGAGTGGCCCCGGCGACCCTCTCCCCGTTCTGCGGGGTCTGTCCCTCCCGAGCCAGGAGGCGGATATCTTGAGGGTACCTTAGCAGGAAAAAGAAGCAGTCTGGGACTTGGCGTCCTAGCCCCCTGTCGAGATTTTGTTTGCTTGCTACCTGGGCATGGCTTCCTGAGAAAGTTGCTGAGCTGCTCTTGCAGGTGGCACAGCAGTCACAGTTTAAGGGGGAAATAGCCTGTATGGTGGCACTGGGAGGCAGAGGCAGCCTGTTAGAGAGAACTCTACTTTAGAGAGTTCTAGGCTAGCCAGAGCAACTCGGGGAGACCCCGTGTTTCACTGAATAACGACATGGGACTCCCGAAAATGTAGTATCCCTCTCTCTCTCCTCCTTTCTCCTGCCCTCATTTGTCCACCCCCACCATCCTCTCTATTCAAGTGGGTTCCTGCATTCTGTCAACCGTGCTCTAAGGATGGAAGGACATTGAAATGACTAGAGATGATCTTTGCTCCCAGAGCAGTTTTGTCCTGAATAACAAGTGACTGGCATTTCCTCCTAACCTCTTTTGTTGGAATACATGTTTGCATACATAACTGTACAGGAAATTGTTGCTCATTAATTAGACACACAGTGAACACATCTTTTTACTCTTTCTCCATTCAGATAACAATATTCATTGCATCCCACAAGACCTTTCCAGAGAATCCTCCCTCATTAACCCTTCTCCCACACCTTTAGGTAATTTTTTTCCTTAATTTATAGCACCATATAGGTGTGCTCACTGGCTTGTTGACAAGACTGGTGCTTTTTTTTTTTTTTTTTTTTAAAAAACAGGGTTTTTCTGTGTAGCCCTGATTGTCTTGGAACTGAATTTGTGGACCAGGTTGGCCTTGAACATGGAGATTTGCCTGCCGCTGCCTCTAAATTGCTGGGATCGGAGGCATGAGCCACTATACCTGACTTCGTTGATTGATGATTGATGTAAGAGGGCCTAGTTCATCAGAGAGGCTCTGTAAAAGTGTCAACATGTCTTAGAGGCAGGGAGACACTGACTAAAATTTAAAAATTAGTCATTTATTCTGACTCTTAAAAATATTCCTGGTGGGCCTGTGGAGAAGGTTTAACAGTTAAGAGTTGCCTATTTCTGTTGTAGAGGACCTGAGTTTGAGTCCCAGCATCTGGGTCAGACAGCTCACAACTGCATGTAACTCTAGTTCCAGGTAATCTGCCACCTCTGGTCTCTGAGGGCACCTGCACTCTTGTGGACATATGCATACTGCATACAACACACACACACACACACACACACACACACGCTTAAAAAATAACTCTTAAACATTCCTATAAGTACATACCTGTAATCCTAGTGCCTGTGAATCTGAGGCAGGAGGATTCCAGGTTGGTGGCCAATCTAGGCAACATAGTGAGATCCTGTCTCCACATCTAAAATATTACCATCAAATAGTCAACCAGTTTGTGTTTGAACTTGAAGAAGAACTTCCTTCGTGAGAAGTCCATTTGTGTTTGGGCAGATCTCATTTTCACAGATGGGTTCCTACTTATTGATGTTGGGTATTGAACCCAGGACCTGCCACTGGTCTACACTCCTATCATGTTTTCTTGCTAATGATTAACATGTTTGTTAAATGGGCCATCGTTCATAGGTCCATGCAAAACTGAAGAGTGTTAGTTATCTGTTGTCTTCTTGTCAGTGAGCACACACTTGATTCTCCCCCCCCATTTAAGTACAGTGCATTGAATGTATTTGAATTTATAAATTCTTGTTAGTTCTAGAGTTAGATTTACTCCATAGTTGCTCTGTGTTTTCTCTTTTTGGACTTGAGTGTTTCATCTCTCTTGTAGCTGGTCTTCTGCCATTGTGCTTTTGACAAGCTGGGGTAGCATGATACCTATAAAGTATTCTAGCATTTGTAAGTTCATGATGCTGATAATTTGGCTTATCAAAAGGCTTGTTTTTGTTTTTTAAATTTTCCCGAAGAAGTACCTAGGAAACCAGATTATCTGGAACAGAGGACAGTTCTTTTAACCTGGTGGTTCTCACTCTCAGAGTTTACTTTCGGTTGCTGTGAAAAGCACCATAACCATAACCGTAGGGGGGAAATATGTTGTTTTGTAGGTTACAGTCCAGAACTGAGGGCCCTTTCTTTCTCTCTCCCTTCCTTATCCCCCTCTTCATTCCCCATGGCAACTTCCCTGGCCTTGGTTCTTGGGGCCAGTGAACTCACTCACCTGAGAGCAGTTTTCCAATAAACCTACCTTTAAAGAAAACAAAAGGAAACAAAACAACAACAACAACAAACAAGCCTTTGTCTATCTTATCGTTAGACACATTACACCTAGTTTTACAGAACTGCTGTTTGCAGTGTATATCTGAATCCTGGGGATAAGGAGCCCTCTGTAGCTCTCCCAATCCACTCCTCCAAAACCTCCCCACATTTCTGAGTGGGCCCATGTGTTCTTTATTGGGGTGCTGTGCTGAGTTAAATCTTGCTTCTTTATGTTTTCTCCCTAGGCTACAAAGTCATAATCAAGTTTTCATTGTTTTGAAGCAAAGCATCATTTAAAAACCTCTCAAGCAGGGATGGTGACATCGCTTTGAAGGAGGAGACAAGTGACTGACTTTGGGGGAAGCACTGTGGCCCTAGCTTTTGTTTTCCTCCCTGAGTTGGAAGAGCTATGGAGAACTGGTCCTGGATGACAGTCGTGGTCTTAATAGGGCTCACAGTGCGGTGGACGGTTTCTCTCAATTCTTACTCAGGTAGTATACTTTTCCTGTCTCAAAGAATGGTACATAGTCCTATTTGACTGAAATAGAGGGTTTTGAGTCTTTATTGTTATGATTAAGAAAACATATGCATCTAATTATAATGAAAAAGTGTAAGAGGTAAATATATTGTGTGATATGAGAAGATAAAAATGCACTGTGGCTTGGAGTATGACAAACCGAGGTGCCATTATGTCACGAGCTAGGCCTTGAAGATGGTCTCAGAGTCAAGGGTTTGTGTTTGCTGATGTTTGTGGTGGAGAGGCAGGTCACTAGATTGAGAAAGGAAACAGTGGAGCAGAGTACAATTGAAAGGAGGGATGGAGCTTGATCCTGCAGACTGGGGATGGGATCAGATTCAGTTCTGCAGGTACGTAGTTAATGCTTTGTGCCAGGTATCACATGTGCTGGGTGCTGGAAAAATAAGGTGAATATTGATGTCATAGAATTCAGTTTCACATAGATAACCAGTCATTGTAAGATGTGATAATTTAATTATGTTTTTGGTACAAGGGTAACAGCAATGACTGATGAAAAGCACACCAGAGCGGACCTGAGATAAGATGTCTGACTTGAGGGTTTGAGGGAAATATAAGAGAATACAGCTACCAATATGTAGTGACCTTAAACATTAAAAAAGAATTAAGATTGAAAAACAGTCTTCAAAGGAATAAAAATGGGAGGAAAAATATGAAAAATTGATTGTGTGTGCCTGTGGAGAAGTAGCCTGGGGAGAAAAAAGAACCAAGATACAGCTTGGCACAGCCATTTTTAGACATGGCTGGAGTTTTGGTTTTACATTTATCTAGGTAATCTGGTTATAGAATTTTCTGGTAATAAAAAAGATGGTAGGAAAAAGGTCAGAGGCAAAGAGACAGAATAGAACTATTAGCAAGGAGAGTGCATGTTGAGCATTTACGATGACAGACACTGTACTCTTTAGTATTTAACAACCACTGAAGATGGGAAATAGCCAAATGCACAAACACAAAATGGGGCAGTCCTGAGGAGTGAGGGTCCTGACGCTGGACATTTAGCCCACACTGGTCATTCGCCAGGACTAATACATCTGAACATAATTTGGAATACGAAAGAAAGTGGGCTGGCGAGATGGCTCAAGCCATCTAGATGTGGCTCCTGGCACCCACTCGATGCTACTAATTGGCTGTGGCTCCATCTTAGAGGATCCAGCATCCTCTACATGTGCATGGTGCCC